CCGTGTAACCCCCCTATGCGGGAATCAAACCATGAGGTTGAAGCTGCTAAATACAAAGCTCTAAACAGAAACCTCACTGTGCCTTTTTTTTTTTTTTTTTTTTTAGCATACAGCAAGTCACCCACCTTGAGGTCGTAAAGAAGTTGGAAGCTGCTGGGCACCTGTGCTGCTCTCTGGACAGCCTGAGCCAGGGCTAAGGCACCCTTGCCCCCTTCTGCCCAGTGAGTGCACTTCACAGCATCAAAAGCCCCATGTTCTCTGGCAAGATGGCGGATGAGGTCCAGCTCAGCCTCTGTATCTGTCCTATAAAGTCAGCACTTCATGTTAAAGCATGGAAGATGACTGGAGAGGACAGAAACCGTCTTCTTTTTTCCATTAAAATCTATATGAATTATCCACTGATAAGTGGACACTAATCAAGTAATACTGCCTGGGTTTGAATCTCAGCTCCACAGCAAATCAGCTGGGTCACTTTGCCAGTTACTTAATCTTTATGTGCCTCAATTGCTACATGGGCAAAATGGGAATACTCATAGCACTTATTTCATTGGGATGTCATGAGGCTTAGATGGTAAATACATGTAAAGAACTTGGAATATTCCAGCAAACCATCAGGAATCAATAAATACTAGCTCTTAAAAATTTTGCTTCCCATTCCACTGTGGTGAGGCTATTAAAACAAAACACAAACCAGTACTACAATACTTAAACAACCCACACAAATTCTTGCATGAACATTTCCAGCTCAATATGTTCAACTCTTTGTCAAGACAACTTCCCACCAGACCTAGTAAAAGAAGGCAACACCATGGGCCTATGATCTTTTGTTAGCACAAAAGGCCTCTAAAGACCAAAATAGAACATTTAACTTCAGCCCTGTGTGTTATCCACTTCACCCAGTAGAAAAGAAGGGGGCCCAGAGAGCCAAATCTAACTTCCAGACCCTCTGTGGGTGAGGTGGTGGGTTGGCTGTGATGCACACGGTGCCTGTCATATCACAGGCTAAACCACAGGCAATAATCAATAGCAATAACTGCAGAACAAAATGAAGCTAAAAACAGTGCTGTACAATCAGCTCCAGGAGACGTTTTCTGACCATTTTCCACATGCCCCGTTTTCTCTTACACTCTGCACTTACTTGAACGCGTTCACAGCCACTACCACTGGAACTCCAAACATTCTGGCATTTTCAATTTGTTTCTTCAAGTTACTGAAGCCTTTTTCAACCAGTTCCAGGTTCTGTAAACACAACAGTGAAAGACCTGTGAGATCACAGAGAGCAGAGTTGAAAACAGTTTAGATTCTTCTTAAAAAGGAAACTGCCTCCTTGAGCCAGTAGCCACTGGCTGTCCGGACAAGAAGGCAAGCCAACAAGTAAGAGAGAAGGTCCACTGATGCACTTCTTACACCATGGCTAGTGGACGCCGTGGAGGGCAGCTTACAACACTGGCCATCTTGAAAACAAGAGAGCTGGCATATTTGCTGTCATTACACCATATCTTATTTGCTGTCTGAAGGGAATTAGTTGTTCCTACCCAAATTATATTTACAACCTGTGTGTTTATAGACTTTATGTACTTATATGGTACAATGACTCTACTCAGTGCTGCACAGACCCTTCTTCCACCCGAAGACAGATCCTAACACTGTGCCTGGCACAAAAGAGGCATTTGTAATACAGCTGCCATAAATACTATCAGAGAACATGAAATAATCAGTGATGCTTTCAGAGGTTTTAATGAACTTAACCATGAACCTTCACTAGAGCCAACAGATAAGATAAATGCTATCATCTTTAAGAACCAAATACTATGAAATCTAAAGGGAAATTTAAAGGGAAACATATCTTTAAATATGTTTACTGCAGCACTGCTTGCAGTATTGGAAAATTGCGAACATGAACCTCCAGGAGAGGACTGGGCCAATGAATTATGATATATACACTTAATAAATACTTATTATGCAGATGTTATGAAAAGTTAGACCAATATGTATTAATGCAGAACCTTTCCAAGATTTACTAAAGTTGCAAAACCATGGAGAGCTTAATTAATTCCATTTTTGGATTAACACAAAAACACGTGTATAATTCATGAAATTTTTAAAAATGTTGACAAATATGCAGCAAACTCTTAAGGGGACTCAAATTACATATATTCTTGTAATGTTTAAATTTTTTTTTTTTTCCTTTTTGTCTTTTTTCGTGACCGGCAACAGATCGCAACCCTCAGTGTCGCGCCCGTACTGGACTGGGACCGGCCACGGGATCACAACCCTCGGTGTTGCTCCCGCCCCTTGCTCAGCCAGTGAGCGGCCGGTCTGTATGTGGGATCCGAACCCTCGGCGGGAGCGCCACCGCGCTTCCCAAGCAGCGCACTATAGCAGTGCGCCACAGGGCCAGCCCTTAAATTTTTTTATAACAGATATATTACTATTAGAAGCTTAAAAATATATTATTTTAAAAATAAAAATATTATAGTTTTAAATAAAATACATACACTGGATCATGAGCAAAACCCAGAAATAATAGTGCTTGGTTTGTGGATCCCAAAAACAGCAGAAAAAATGGGTATGTTAAAGGTAGAAAACAACTAGCATCATTAGAAATGTGATTTACGCTTTCTTTTTCCCCTTTAATAATTAAAAACTGAAATTAGGATTTATTTCATATTCTAAAGAGCACTGCTAATTCTTTACCTCTAGTCACATGAAAACCAATTAGTATGTAAGACTGATTGAGAACAGTTTTAAATAAGTAGAATTTCTTAAATGAAGACGCCAGCTGGGCCAGTTAGGGGCAGTCACTGTAATTAGATACAGGAAAGGCTGCGGGTGGCAGGAGGGCCAGAACTGTGAATTCCCCTCCTACGCGTGAATCAGACAAATGACCATAAAAGGCAAATCATAACTCAGAAGACAGGCAAACTCAAGGCACCTACAATTTCTTTCTAGCTGATTTTGAAATACTTCATTTGAGACCTGAACAGTGACCTTGTATTGCTTCATAATTTAAAAGCCTTTTAAAAAAGGCAGAAAAAATTGAATTAACAGTGATATCAGCTGACCTTGCCATCTTATCCTAGGTCCTGACTCTCATGTAACTAGCTCTAAAGGTGTTTATTTGACGGTAAATGATATAAATATGAAAAGATTTGAGCTCACAAGTGTTCTTTTGGGCTCTTGCTTGATGCTATAAACCAAGTCACCTTATAGAAGCTTTGCCTAGAAAAACAATCAGGATCCTGACCATATCTTGGTCCTTTAAAATGGATGTATATCTGCATAGGAAAAGGCATTTTCATAAAGGTCCCTACTTGCTTCTGATTGAATGACATTTAGGACCACCAGCCAATGCCGGCAAGATAATGGAAATTTCCTCACATTAGTCTAGGGCAGGGTTTCTCAACCTCAGCACTACTGACATTTTGAGCTGGCTAATTCTTTGTTGTGAGGTGCTATCCTGTGTGTTGTAGGATATTTAACAGCATCCCTGGCTTCTACCCGGGAGGTGCCAGTAGCATTCTCTACCCCCGGCTCTAACAACCAAAAATGTCTCTAGACATTGCCAAATATCCCCTGGGGGCAAAATTGCCCTGTTGAGAACCAACCTCTGGGTTAGGGCAGTGGTTGACTGACATCCAATGTGGGGCAATTCTGTTTTGTTATTTACTCATTGAACACAATCTTAAGCACCCTGCAGGCCTTTTAGCATCCTGCACTCCCTGGAGCAACCCTGGATCATGGTGATATCCCCATTCACTTCCACATGGGCCAGGAGGAGAAAGGCTGATTCAGGGTATGGTGCTGTCTGGGACAATTAATTAGAAATAATCGAAGTTACCTCCTCTATGTAAGCCTTGGGAAGAGGCAGTCCAGCAGTAACCTGGAAAGAGAGGAAACAAAGTCAGAGGCATTTTCTATTTTCAATTAGATTCTAGCTTAAAATTGTCATGTATTAAAAATAGAAGGCTGCATGCTTGGAGGGATACAGGGCAGTGTAAGGGTGTTTGCTGCCCTAAGGATCTGGCCATGCACCAGCCATACAGCACAGAACAAGATGACTGCTTGGAGAAGAGTGGGAGGCCTTCGTGACCTGACTTAAGGAAGTGAGAAGGGACAGATCTGACTGCAGAGGTGGACAGGGATGTGTTCTAGGCAGGCGTGATGCACTCAGCCAGTGAAGGACACGCCGTGGGCGTGGAAGTAAAGGGAGTGTGGGGGAAAAGGCAGCTGTCTGCCCTGCAAAAGTCACCCTGAAGTGTCCCTCAACAAAGTCTGTGATGAGGTCTGTGATGGTTTCATGAGCTGGTCCACAGAACCAAACCCCGCCTTGGTGGAGCTGAACTGTAGAGCAGGAACAATACAAAGACGAGGGGAAACAGGATTTTCTTCCTCTGTTGTAGAGTATTCTTAAGGTATCCGAACATTTAAGCATGAATTCAATGTATGGAGGCTCCTGGTGCCTCACGTCCTGATCTGTGTGGTGGCTCAGCCCTGCTGCATCCACAGGGATGAGGAAGGGGGTGAAGGTGCCGACTCCACAGACCCCACTGTGGGCAGTGGACAGTGAGGAAGAAGCCTCCAGCCAGGTTCTCTCTCATTCCGTAGGGAGATTGTGCTGTTCCAGGTTCCAGCTCCAGAAGGGGCCATGGGGAGGCAGGGTGGAAAGCAGGGACCTTACACATAGCTTCCCATCTGCGAGGCAATGTGCGCAGCAGTTTGGCTCCTTGACAGAGATATATGTGCAAAGACCTCCTCTCAGTGCTGCCCAGGTTAAATGCCCAGCATCATCATATTTTAGATGATGAGGTCAGGAGGAAGGAAGGAAAGGAGGCACAGTGGTGTACAGATGAGTGGGGTGGGGATGCAAGAGAGAGAAATGTGGGTTATGATCAGAAAGAAATGGGGAGTCTATCATGCACTATCAGCAGAAAGGGGTGTCCTGGGTCAAGAGAGCCTTTGGTATCTTGGTGCCACTAAGACTGGAGAGGGGCTGGGGCTGTGTTACAGCAGTGTTCTCACAGTGTTATCTCGGGACCTAACCCTCAGGGGGTCTGCAAGGTCAAAGCTGTTTCCATAATAGTGCTAAGATGGTATGGCCCCTTTCCCTCTCTTTTTCTCATTGAGTGTACAGTGGCCTTTTCCAAAGGTTATGTGACGTGATATCACAACAGATCAAATGCAGAAGATGATAATCCAGCTGTCTTCAATGAAGACAGATGCAGACAAGATCTGAAAAATGTACAATGCCTAAATTTTGTTTTGGGAAGCATAATAAATCTTCATAAAAAATGTTCTTTATATTTATATATAACTCAGTTTAAATTTCTAATATATTAAATATCAATAACTATAAGCCGCATAAACTCTTTTAGGCCCTCAATAATTTTTAAGAATGTAAAGAGATTCTGAGGCAAAAACACTTGAGAACTGACATATTAGGAAAAATCCTGATCGCTACACTAAGGAACATTGATTTTATTCTGTAGGTGAGAGAGCTCTTCTTTCCTAAGTTACAATAGAAGCTCTTGGGGAATAAGAATTTAATACTTCAAATGATTTCTGAAAACTAGCACCATATTTTTACATGTAGGTGCTGAAGAAAATGTGTTAAAATACTAGGGCAAAAAGTGCAAGTCCTAAGCAGTAGGAATTCAGGAAAATACAAAATTCAGGTTGGAGCTGAAGATAAGCTAGCTCTGTTTCTCGCTATTACCCAGTGCAGTCTCGAGCAGATCGACCATTCTCCTCCTGCCCTCACTGTCCTTTCTCCTTCCTCCTACTCCAGCCTGCTAGTGGCCCTGTCGAGGAAGGATGACTCAAGAAGCGGCCGGCCTCTGTTTCAGCTAAATGGTTTGGTTGGCTGCCAGTGCCACTATTTAGAGGGAAAATGGGATTCAGATTTTAAAAGAAGAGTCTGAACATAAAGGAATATTTTTGCAGGCATAGCCAAGCGCATGTCCTTGGAAGGGTTCAGATATTATCAGATGTTTTCCTCAGAAAGGTAGGCCATGAAGCTAGTGTGGACCCTGTTAAAATACCGAGAGCTGAGGGCCAGCCTGTGGCTCACTCGGGAGAGCATGGTGCTGATAACACCAAGGCCATGGGTTCGGAACCCATATAGGGATGGCCGATTAGCTCACTTGGGAGAGCGTGGTGCTGACAACACCAAGTCAAGGGTTAAGATCCCCTCACTGGTCATCTTTTAAAAAAAAAAGGCCAAGAGCTGACAGTGCCTATGAGCAATAAGGCGGCCAGCACAAGAGCTGTCTGACCATCGTTGCTTTTGGCACCCTATTAATCACAAGGATAAGAGCAGCTTCATGAAGAAGTAGGCACGTGTCATCTAACTTCCTTTCAGCCTTCAGAACATTTGGATAATCAGACTCTTCCAACCCTTGACCCTCACCGTGGGGCCGCCTCCGTGCATTTTAAGAGCCCGGACAGTGGCAACAAGCACCACCACGTGAGGGCGGAGACCAGAATACCGGCATTTGATGTTAAAAAACTTTTCCATTCCAATGTCTGCTCCGAATCCTGCTTCAGTCACTGTTAAGGAAAGAAAAAAGCAACTGTAAGAATGCCTTTCTAGGGCCGGCCCGTGGCTCACTCGGGAGAGTGGGTGCTGATAACACCAAGGCCCCGGGTTCGGATCCCATATAGGGATGACCAGTTTGCTCACTGGGTTTATACCTACTCTGCTCTGATTGTCAAAAACCAGTGCAGGAAGGCAGGAGTTACTCTGCTCACCTCTAATGTCTGCATGAGATTGGGCTTGATTGCATCCTTCATAAGCACTGTCAACGCACCGCTCACCCCCAAAAAAAAAAAAATATATGAAGTGTCAACTCCTACCAGCAAAAAACCCAACCTTCTGACACCAACATTCAACATTCTAGGTCTTCCCTTTGTAGCCATCTTGGACCAATTAGTACTTTCACCTGAACTGGATCATCCATTCATTTTTGCTCTGGATATACTATGAAGTTACCAGTTATTTTAAGCAGAAAAACAAACAGAATGAAAATGACATTCACATACAACTTCTGGAAAAACATGAAATTCTGTCAACAAGTATCTCAATAAAGCTCTGCTGCTGACTGGTGTGGGGAATACATTTTAGACTAGTTTAGAGCATGGAAATGAGAGTTCATAGCGTACTAAGTTATTTGTAACTTTGTATCTGGGCAAAAATGACGATAAACCATATTTAATGTGTTTCCCAAAACTGAAACTAAAATATAACCCAGGAGTTCAATACCAACTCTTAAATATGATGTCCCTCTTTTAAGCCTATCCGATCCTCAAACCAGTAACAAAGAATGGTTTCCATTTATATTCAATTTTAATGAGTTTCTAAATTTAAGGTCTGTATGTTAAAATTTAAAACACGTATTAACCTATTAATTGTGAAAATGGGAAGTTAATTTCTTGCCCCTTTTCTGAATTCATCTGCCATACCACTAATCGCAGGCCAACTACTTTGGTGTGTATCAACACAAACAAGCTTTTAAAAAATTAATCTATAAGAATTCTCCTGTCAAACCTCAAATTACCACACAGACAGTTCAGAAATAACCCTGAGATGGAGAACTAGCTTACTAGGACCATCAGGCAAACTGGCTCATGAGTTATTCCACATGTAGTCATCAGTGTGGATGTGGTAGCCGACAAGCCTCATGAAAAGAGGTCTCTGTGCAGGAAGCCAGGCGTCATCGTGAAGGGCCAGGGTGGAACTCCAGGCTCAGCTACTAAGGGCCTCACAGGACTCCTAATATTCTTTGCAAACTGAAGTCATACACCTGCACTTAGAGATGCTCACAGGATGAAGATGTTACTCAAGTCAGCTGGAACTTGCGGCCTATTACTGGAGCATACCACCTATTATTCACTATGTAGTACTTCCTTCAAATTTCATGGTTATCTTTTTTTTTCTTTTTTCTTTTTTTATCAGCTGGCCAGTACAGGGATTGAACCCTGGATCTTGGTGATAATTATCTTGTAATAAGCAAAGTCAGATTGAATTGATGAGTTAATTGCAATATGTTAAATACAGCATAACTTTTGTTATCAGTAACCACCAAGAGACCCCAGGACAATGGACAGAGATGTGTCACAAAGCCTGGGGAGCCTGGGCACTCACCAGATCTTCAGCACTGATGGGCTCCCCTTTCTTGCTGGATGCCACCACCATTCTGCTCAGTCTCTCTCTCATGTCTTCTAGAGAACTGGTGAGAGCCAGGACAGCCATGATTTCACTGGCCACAGAGATATCAAACTGGGTCTGTGGGCAGGGAAAAGAGACAACAGCAAAAACCTTGTGTCAAACCAGAAGCATGAATTGTGAAAATAATCCTTTTTCTGAGGCTTAAACAGCTTAAAATTAAACATAATTTTACACAAAAAACAATAAAAATAATCCTCCAACAGCAAAAATTTGTAATTAATTATTCCAAGACCTTGAGTTGTCAATTTCTAAAAATAAATGTTCTAGTAGAACCATTAAGCTATTTTATCCCTATGAAGGCAGCTTGTAATCACATAGTTATGGTTTCCCTAACATACAAGGCAACAATACGGCAGCTCTTACACCCAAGAGACATACTGCAAATGGCTACAATAAAGAAGCAATTTTAATTAATTTATATGCAAGGATTTTTCACTTGGGGCTCTCCACCTCCAGGAAAAAATGCTGGGGGAAAAACGCACAGGTGACACATGGGATTTATTGCAAAAGCTGTCAGGAGTGCTCAATACCACACCTACTCCCTTCCATTTTAAAAAGAGAAGGCAGAACAACACCTGGCTGTATCAGTCGTATGGGAGAGGATGGAGGAGGAGAGAAGCTGCAAGATCTAGTTCACATGAACTAATTTACTTGGAGAGACAGTTACCATCCGTGTGTGCCCTTTCTCCGTTGGAGCCTGTCCAATTGTGATCTTCCTCAGGAATCTATCATTGGTATCCAGCACTACAGTAGAATGGGAAGATACAGAACAATTATTAGTAAAAGGACCATAAAGTTAAAGAAAGCAGAGAGTTTTAAAGCAACAAGGCTAATTTAATGACTGTCTATTAATATTTGATTACAACACTGATGACAAAGCTAGAATATGGGTTAAAGTTTTAAAAAACGATGTTCACGTACCATAAACGTACAGGAATTATTTTTAAAGCAAAGCAATGTGGTGTGGCTTGGTTTTATTCCATCTGGAGAATTCAAACAATAAACTAGAAATCTGGAACCTATTTTAAAACATATTCCATGTTACAAGAAAAACAGAGCAGTCCACATTGTTTCAAAAGGCCAAGGTTTGTGTTGTTGCTCTGTGGGATGATCCACTAACCTTACACCATCCTGAGAAACACAAGAGCCATAAACTCAGGGCAAGTGCAAATGTCTTTTGAAACATGCCGGGTAACAGGCCTGGTGTTTCCTTTAGCTCCTTAGAAGAAGTCATTTCTATTCTGATGATGGAGTATCTATCTAGTTGTAAAACCTTGGAAAACATGGTAAAGATCAACCAATTAACCAATCTTAACCCCATCTCCCAGGACTAACTACTGCTAACATTTTAGTGTATTCCCAATTTTGGTTTTTATATGCACAGTATAATAGGAAATATATTTATTCTTTGTCCTGGGTTGCTAGCACACAAGGCTCCAAGAGCCCTTGGAATTTCAAGGGTGATAGGAGTGTCTTGTTATTCATAACAAACCCCTTTTGATCATACCTGAGTTTATGCTAAAGAGGTACCTTAGGGTCAGTCCCCTAGACAGCCTCAGGAGAGGCCTGGCCACCAAAACGACCAAGGGATTAGAGGGTTGGAACTTTCAGCCCCATCCACCAACCACTGGGAAAGGGACCAAGGGATGAAGATTAAGCTCTATAAAAACTGTTGAGCCACAAGGTCTGATGAGCCTCTGGAGTGGCGAACACATCAAGGTGCTGGGAGGGTGATGCACCCAAGGCATCTCTTCCATCTGGCTGTCCCTGAGTTGTATCCTTTGTAATTAACTGGCAAACATAAGTCATGTTTCCCTGAGTTCTGTGCGTCGTTCTAGCAAATGATCGATCCTGAGGAGGGGGTTGTGGGAATCTATGATTTATAGCCAGTGGTCAGAAGCATATGTGACAACCTGGACTTGGGATAAGGTGTCTGAAGTGGTGATAGTCTTGTGGACGGAGCCCTCAACCTGAGGGATCTGCTCCAGACAGTGTCAGAATTAAGTTGTAGGACACCCAGTCAGTATCCACTGGAGAACTAAAATGAATTGCTGGAGGAAAAACCTACACATCTGGTGTCAGAAGTGAAGCACTGAGCGTAGTGTAAGCATAGCAAGGAAACCAGAGTTTCCATGTCAGTACGAAATACCAAACAGTAACAACGAAACACGAATGAACAACGATGCAAAAACCAGTTCATACTCTGTACGGGTCAAAGAAGAGAAGCATATATAAGGCACTTGATAACACACTAAATCATTTTCCATAAAGATTGTAATAATTTAAACACCAAGAGCAGTGCCTTATATGGCACTCAGAGACACACCACACTTGATAAGTGAAGGATGTAATGTGTTGTTGGAGCCAACACAGTTTTCAAAAAAATATAATATCACGTTGCTTGTAACTATTTTTTCTGTATAAAATAGCCAGTCAATAGGTATGATCTATTTTTTCCTTATCTGCTTCTACTTAGAAAGCATGAATTAGGGCCAAGCCTGTGGCGCACTTGGGAGAGTGCGGCGCTGGGAGTGCAGCAGTGCTCCTGCCGTGGGTTCGGATCCCATATAGGGATGGCCGGTGCACTCACTGGCTGAGCGCGGTGCGGCTGGTCACAAAAAGGACCAAAAAAAAAGTTTGAAAAAAAAACAAAAAAGAAAGCATGAATTAGACGCAAAGGAATGAGATACTAAATTTTCAAAATGAATTTTTAGCTTATTCCTTATAAAATATTATACCATTTGTCTAAAGCTATTGAAGCAAAGGAAGAGAAATGCCAGTGTGGTTTTAGATATTAAGTGTAATCTTAAAAATGCCGTTAGCTAGCGATAGTTACTGAGCCAATGAAGATTACAAAAAACAGTCAATAAATTGGCCTTTAGTTGCACTCTGCACAACTGAATGAAACTTCCTTCTCAGCAGTGATACAGGCTAGATGGATGCACTGTTAGTACAAAATAAAATTCTAAGCCACACTAGCTCTCCATAGAGAAAAGCATGGCAGTGAAGCCAGACAACTTGCTCACTAAACTGCTAAGTATTTAAACCTTGAAGAGTAACCTAATTTGTTAGAAGAGAATTTAATAAAATGAGGTAAAAAATGATTAGGCAAGCTAGAGAGCTACAAGAAAAATCAAGTCACTTATGCCAGACAAGAGTTCTGAGAATAAAAGGCACACACGATTCAAGAAGTGATTAAACTAATTTCTCACTTCATGACACCAAAACTTTTTTCATAAAATGAAACTTGCAAAATGTTACTTTTGGTTTAAGAACTTCCTTGAAAACACCCTCATTTGAATCAACACTGTATAGACAGCAAAATGATCAACAAATCCAACAAAGGGAGATTTGATTACAGCTAATAAGGAGAGATACTGATAGGGGAGGTAAGAAAAACAAATAATGTCACCATCTTGGTCATGCCTTAACCATGAAAATACCAACACCCAAGTTTCTGGACCTCATATTTTAACAGCTCTTCTGGAGGGCATGGGGTGTACAGTATACCCAAAACAAATGGAGCCTGTATACTGCTGTGGTACCTCTTTGCCAAGTTATGGTTTCTGGATCAATGTCCAATCTTGCAAATCTGTTTATCTCTTCATCTGTTAGTGTGGTAGGGTCAGTCTTTTCAATTCCTAGTCTCTAAAGAGGTAGGAAAATTAGAACATAAAATAAAACAAAACAAACTGAAGCATAATAAATTTAAAAAAAATTTTTTTAGCCCTTGTCTCATGATAGGGTCCCCTCTAGCAAATGCAAACCATCTTAAATTCAGAAAGGAAAACTATAATCCCTTGGCTAAACCTGGATGTTATTTCCTACTCACACATGTACAAAGGTATTATTAATGTGTTTGTCACTATAACTGAGCATCAGAGGAATTTTCCCAAACCTTGCCCTAAATAAGCACAGTGACCAAGAAGTGTTGCAAGACACATATGCACTTTTTAAATTCATCAAACCCAAATATATTGAAAGAAAAAGCAATGTGCAAAGCTTTTTCAATCAGACAATCAAGAAGCCCAATTCAAATGAAATTTTAGGAAGGACAGAAATAAATACAAATCAGTAAAGATCAATGTAAATCACTTTTATATGCTTTTTATGTGGTGCTATACTTTTGCTGACTTCTTACCGTTCCAAAAGACACAAAAAGGGTTTCTATTTTCCTCCTCACAGAATTTGGAAATTTTATTTATTTATAATGTATGCCTAAGTAATATCCTGAAATGGAAAATGTTTATAAAATATGTTCCCCTTTTCCTCTAACTCATGGTAGTTCTGAGTGGGTCCCAGCAAGCCCTATTCTTCCCATAGTTCCTTTTTTTATTTTTATTTTTAATTTTTAATTTTTTTGGTAGCTGGACAGTATGGGGATCTGAACTTGTGACCTCGGTGTTATCAGCACCATGTTCTAACCAAGTGAGCTAACTCCAGACCCACAGTTCCTTTCTTGTGCTATGAGGACCTGTTTTGAAACTGTGGATACGTTTCAAAGTTGGCCGCTGGCTGCCCTATCCAATAGCCCCCCAAGCCTAGAACATGATGTTGTTTACAGGAGCCAGCAAAACCCTTGATCACTATGCTAAAAATCTGCTGCTGACAACCCACTCTTGAGTGAGCGCCATGGGGCATCAGTGATAACACCGCAACAGAGGATGCCTGGGGACACAAGAAAAGGAGACCTAGGTTCCAGTTCTAACGCTGCAAATGGTAATGTAGCCTCGGGCAGGCCTCTTGGTTTAAAATTCTAGAGCTTTTTAAAGGATCATACAGCCTAGCCCCTCCCCACAACTGACAGAAAGTTCCATTAGCAAAGGTAAGATTAGAAGTCTCCTGCTCTTTTCATGGAAAATTGCTGCCTCGCAGAACACAACTCTGTCGTTAAGTAATAGTCAATTATCTGAGTAATAGTCAATTTATCTGATGCTAGGATGAGGGGGGAGAAGGTTGAGAAAACAAAATAAGGTAAGGACACAAAAATCAACTACAATGTATATTGAGAAGTTAAAATAAAACAAACAAACAAACAAAAAAACAAAAATAAGGTAGGGAATATTAAATTGCTTAAAAGTTAGCTGTTCTCAAAAAAAAAGTTGTTCTCAAAATAATGCATATACATATAGTGACAGAATTGTAAAGGAAGTTGAGCAAAATGTAAACAATTAATGCATCTGTATAAAGGGAAGCTCCAAGTCCTATTCTTGCAGCATGAAAATATAAAAATTAAAAATTAAAAATAAAGTAGAACCATTATTGATAATAAGCAGCACACGCCATTCACTGAATGCTTACATGCACCATGCTGTCTAAAGAACATATGTACAACATTTCTTTCCATACTTCTTCAGTAAAGTAATACATGAATATATTTTTGAATTTTATTTTTAAAAGTCTCTTGTGCTATTCCTTCACAGTCACACCCTCCCTCAACCCACAGCCTTTGGTACCCACTGATGTGTTCTCCATCACTATAGTTTTGTCCTATCGAGAATGTCATATAAATGGAAGCATACAGTATACAGCCTTTTGAGACAGGCTTCTTTCACTCAGCATAATGCCTTCGAGAGTCATCTAAGTTGTTGTATGTATCAACAGCTCACTTCTTTTTAACCCTGGATGTACCAAAGTTTGTTTATACATTGCATCCATTGAACAACATTTAGATTGCCACTTTTGGGAGATTATTAATAGAGCTGCTAAAAACATTCACATGTTGGTTTTTTTGGAGAATACAGTTTTTAATTTTTTTTAGGTAAATACCCAGGAGTGGGATTTCTGGGTCATGTGGTATATAATGTATGCTTAATGACTATAGATTTGTTATAGAAATTCAAATAAAATATAGAGGTAACTATTCTTTTAACTGTTTGACACAGTCCTTAATCTATGCAGAGCAAGTAATACTATCCCCATTTTACAGACAAGTAAACTGAGACACAAGTCATATAAAAAATTTGCTTAAGGTCCCAATGATTCAAATTCCAAAAGCTGCTATGCTGCCATGATGGCATATTGACTGTCATCCATGTTATAAAGAAAGTGTCAGTTTTCTTCTTAGCTGAGAGTAGGTTGTCAGTGCTCTATTTAATCCAGGACTAACCACTTATAATTTACAAATAAATGAAAAATAACCACTTACAATTTACAGATAAATGAGAAATAACCTCTACCACCAATCCTTGCAATGGATATCATCACCTTAAGACTATGAATGTTAGGCAATCATGTTTTAGCTGATGTCTAAGATGCCGGGGGGCGACGGGAGGAACGCCTAAAATGGCTGTGGAGAGTTTCACGTCCCTAGAACAGCACGTTTTCCGAGAATCACAAAAAACCCCTCCCCCTTCTTCCTCACCACCACATCCCCTTCCCGCACACGCGAATTTCTCCACCTATAGAAAAATCCCAACTCAGCTTAAACCCCACTCGCTTCCCTCCCCTTCCTTCTTAGCCAATAGGAACAGTCCAGCTCAGCCTGACTGGATATAAAAGGCCCAGCCCGGCTCTCCCTGCTGCTGCTCCCACTTCTGAGAGGGCAGCCTGCTTGTTCATTTTGCCTGCCTAGTACACGTTGGTTGAGTCCATGTCTCCTGGTGTGTTTCTTTTACACTCGGGCCGGGCTTTCTTCCTTTCAACAACTATTGATGTAACTTGATCCAAAATAGGCTACTCTAAGGAGAATTTTACCTCCCTGTCAATTACCAAATTTCACACAATATCAAAAATAAAGAAGGAAAAAGCTTACCCGTAATCTTCGGATTTGGATATCAGAGAACTTTCTCACTCCATTCACTGATGGTACCAAACGATTAAAGAGAGCCTTAAAGAACAGGAGGAAAAGGGTTTTTAAATGAGAGGAACCCCACTGCCTTACTACCTACACCATCAGCACCCAGGGGACCAACACTAATTCGGGTGCTTTAGCCCTTTCAAAAGTGTTCATGGGGTTCATGAGGCCTCAGCATACTACCTTGTCTGTCTGGGTAAGTTCATGGAATATCCGGGCATCGATGGCAGCAGCAACGAGGTTATTAGCTGCAGTGATGGCGTGGATGTCACCAGTGAGGTGGAGATTAAACTACAAAAGAACAGAAGTCACATCGGTTTTCAAGGTGCTCTGGATCTTTCCAACAGTCATTCTATTGTCACCAAATCAATTCCTATGTTAAAGCCAATGGAATACTGATGGCATCACAGCTATCACATACCCAATACAGGGAGCTCCTGAAAACATAAATGACTATTCATTCTCAGAAGAAACTCCTCTAAAACAAAGAATTTGCAGTTTTCCCTAAACAACATGTCCAGAGAACACAACCCCACACCACTGGAATCAACAGCAACACTGGATTACGGAGGTCATGCTCACATCTTTTATTTTTATTTTTATTATTATTATTTTTAAAGACTGGTAAGGGGATCTTAACCCTTGACTTGGTGTTGTTAGCACCATGCTCTCCCAGTGAGCTAACCGGCCAGCCCTATATGGGATCTGAACCCACGGCCTTGGTGTTATCAGCACTGCACTCTCCTGAGTGAGCCACGGGCCAGCCCACACTCACGTCTTTTAAACGGTGAGGAAGAAGGAGCACCAGAGCAGCGCTAACTCTATGTCTAAACACTGTCCCCATTTCTGCATTTAGTACTCTGGGTTCACTGTGCGTTGGTGCTTCCCACTATCACACTTCATCAGATAACTTGCTTAAAATGATTATTCCCACCGAAAAGCCAGGCTTCAGAACCAAGTTATGTCACAAGTCTACTAATTATGATGTTTTTCCTTACATGTTGCTTCTGCTGAGAAACAAGTCATTTGCCCACAAACAGCTCTACGAAAATGGTTAATCTCTGGGGAAAAAGCTGTAATAAAGGGTCCAAGTCAGCCAAATCCTGGAATACTTTACCTCTTCCATAGGGATAACCTGGGAGTAGCCACCTCCTGCAGCGCCACCTAGAGGATAGGTTGGGGGGGTCTTATGTTAAGCATGCTTCTCCATGACTTGGAAATCAAATATGTAAAAGCAAATCGATTTCTTTACTAAGCATATTATTTATTTACTTTTTAAAAATAATTTGGCCAAAGTTAATCAAGTGTTTTCTAATTTTCTTTTAGCACGGCAAAACACTTGATTTTGTTCATGCTGAATAGTCTCTCAATTGAAATCTGAGTCTAAATGACAAAACCATGAACACATATGTACCTACTCATTATCTTTAGGAAAAGGTTCCCTGTGATTCCTAACATTTGTTAAAACACCCAGCTGACAGTTACATAAAGGCAAACCTATTCAATTTCCTACTCTCATAAAGCTACTCTGGTTTTTAAAAAGGAATATTTAAGATACATACACCTAACACAAACAAAGACTACAATTCCTCCAAAGTAGAAGACATATACTAGAAAACAGCCTAATCACTAGATTTTTGCTGGCCCATTTGGATTATTAACCAAAGGCCAGTCAAAAATGTCTAGATTACCACATTATTAATGGAATAAATGTCAGTTTGAGGTATAGATTTTGTTTTTGTGAGGCAGAGACCACACAATGAAGCAATCTGCAATAAGAGGAAAAGAAGAATAATAGGTATAATAGATTCAATAAGCAGAACAAGGGAAAAGGCTCCTTCTGAAGTTGAAAGGGGGTTGTTAAGACAAGCTCAAAGTAGAACTAAGTCAGCATGTTTATAAAACAGACAGAAGGGCAAAGGTGTACCCCAGGTCAACATTTGCAGTAATTGCTAGAACAAGCAGAATGTGATACCCTGTCACCAAGCAAATGAGAAAGCTAACTCTAAGAACCCATTATAATTAATAAAAATAACTTTAATTAAAAGAGTCTATTTGCAGTACTACAGCAATCAAAATCTGAAGGTAAAGTATGACTACTGATGTCATGTTTTCATCCAGCCAGAAGAAGAAACACTGTGTTGATGGTAGTGATTTAGCACTTGAAATAGACTGGGGGTTCAGGGGCACTCTAGCACTTAATAATGATGCCGTTGACCAAGTTACCTCTGAAGTCCTGGTTGCTGCTATTGTAAAATGTTGATAATGCTATCTCAAATTGGAGGATAAAATAAAATAATATGCATGAATTGCTTGGCACAATATGTGGCACAAAGCATATACTCAATAAGGGTAGGCTTTTCATTCCCCACAGGGTAAAACACCTGTAGGGTTTGCCTTTCTCTTTCGAATGTCAGCATGGTAATCAGTAGCTATGATTACCTTTATTGTTACTGTGACAGTTAACTATTAGGGTCAAATAAAAGCACCTCCAGCTACACATTACCCATCCCAGAGAATCCCTGTGGAGTGTCAGAGAACGACAGCAGGAGCTAGGGTAACCAACAAAAGCCTTCTCCAAAAGCACTACTCTAGTGGGGTGTGAGGAGGACATTCATGGTGTCCACATGAGTTGAAGACCCCATCAGTGTTTGTGGGTGAAGTGGGCCTGGGAGGAATGAAGGAGAGGCAAGTGCCCTCTGGCCACCCAGGGTCCAGCCCCACTCGTACCTTTTATTCCAAAGGTGGGGCCCTGGGAAGGCTGTCGCACACATGCAAAAACGTTTTGATAAAGATGGGCACCGAGGGCTTGCACCAGTCCGATGGTGGTTGTGCTTTTCCCTTCTCCCAGGGGCGTTGGAGTTATTCTTCAAGACGAAAGCAAAAGAAGAGAAGGTTTACTTATAGAATTAAGTTGATCTATATCACTAAATCAGACCTAGCAGACCCTAGAGAATGACTTTTCATCTAAATAATAAAAAAGACAAAAGCCCGGAAAGAGATCTTTTCCAAGAGTCTTAGTTGTAATTTCCAAAAAACTTTAAATTAAAAAAAAAAAAAGATTGCTGTACTTTTGCTCTCCTCACTGTAAAGAGGAAATATACTTTACTTTATAGAGAGAGACACTGCTATAATTTTGATTTCTCAATTTAAAGTCTCAAAAACTAGCTTTTATATATAACTTAGCTCAGCAATAAAAATGAATGCTTAGTAGATCTATTGAATTAATTAATTTTGGGTTAAAAAAAGGTGATTCCATCTGAAACAAAAACTAGCTTTTATATATAACTTAGCTCAGCAATAAAAATGAATGCTTAGTAGATCTATCGAATTAATTAATTTGGGGTTAAAAAAAGGTGATTCCATCTGAAGACCAGGTTATAAGACTGAACTCTTCCACCTACTGGATGGATAACCTTGACCAATCTTCTCATCTCTGAAGGATTACAATCTACTCTTATCTACCTTACAGGGTTGCTGTTAAGGATCAAATGAGATCAAATACGTGTGACAATGCTAAAACCAAATTAAAAGCACCTCCAGAAATATGTGTTAAGTGCAAATGCAACTCCTGGTAATAATAATCAGGATTAAAATTAAGATTTGATTGGCAAAATGAATAAAAATCATACCCGGTCACCACCACATATTTCCCATCGGGCTGGTGCTTCAGGCGCTCTAGCGCTGACAGCAGAACTTTGGCTTTTGTTTGACCATACATTTCTACCTCTCCGGAGAGCAGACCAATTTCTCGAGCCAGGTTCCCAATGGGCTTCGGTTTGCAAGATCGTGATATATCAATGTCACTTTAAAAACATAGCAAATAGGTATCAATCTTTATTCACTGAATTTAATTAATCCCACACTAATTGATGACCCCTCACACCCCCACCACTGATGGTGCTTTCAGAAGGAGCTCACATGTACCCACAGTATCCAACAATTCACAAAGTTTTGAATCAGTAAAATTTTGAGTTTACCTTGGAACAGGAGTCTTGAGGTTAAGCTTGTTATACTGAATCGCCCACTTTCCTGGATTAAATTTCTCCAGGAAATGCTTTGCACTCTCTACTGTGCTCTAAACAAAATGACATAAGTGGATCTTAAAAGAGGTGATTATTTTAACCCCCACCTCAGTTCCAAGCCCCAGGTCACTCCAGTTCAATCACAAAATGAACTGGTTCCTGCTCCACATATTAACGTGCCTCAATTCTAAGCAAGACTCTACAAGCACCTACAAGGCTTTGGGGCTGCTTGCCTCTCCCCATATCAGCTGGGGTGTGTTATAAAGGGCAAGCAAGCCAAAAGAGACCTAGCTAAGTCAGTGTATTTTCACTTTTCTTTTTTGGAAGTTATTATATTCCAAAGGAAATTAGAATTGTGCCGTCCCTGCTCTCCTCTACTAATGCGACTGGTACCATTTCTCTGTTCTTCCATTCCCTTTTTGTCCTCAACAGATTCACATCTTTACTTAACTTCTGAGTGGGTTTTATGACATTTCTACTTGAGAATAAAAGCAGGATTCTATCAGCTTTTCAGAAATATTACAGGAAGTTTTATTCACAAGTACCTGCATTAGCATTGCGACTGTCATGGGCCCGATGCCACCAGGAACAGGAGTGATAAAGCCTGCCCTCTCTTTGGCCTCATCATATGCCACATCACCCACGACTTTTCTCCCATTTGGTTTTGTATCATCTGGTCAAAGGGAAAAAAATCAAAGGAAAGTCTGAGAATTGCAATCCTGGTGTTTATTTTTAAGTTAAGCGATCAATTATGACAGTTTGTTCCAAAAACTAAGTAGAATTTTAGGGTGTGTTAATCCCATCAGGCTCAAGTGTCTACTTTACTTAAAAGCTATGAGATGACAAGTGTTTGCTATCTCCTATGGAGAAAATTATTTTACCTGAAAAATTTACAAGATGCTTAAGTGGTTTTTCAGCATCTGGAGAATCCTTTTGTAGTCTCTCAGGAGGCAAATAAAATACCAACCATTTTTAATTCTTAAAACCATCTACCCAGTATATAATGAGCACCTTTTAAAATGGTAATTTGCCAAGGCCTACAAAAGAATTTTTTTGGGTGCACAAAGCTCCAACTATGTCACAGCTGCAAGATACCGTTTCTACAGCAACTGTCAGCATTTTGTAAGCTACATGTGTGAGCTGGAGGAACAATTCAGCATCCAGTTCCAAAGACAAGCACCTACTTAAATGTATGCTAAAGGCAGAGAGTATAATTACGCCTCCCTTAAAAGGATACAAGAACACTACAAATCTTACCAGCAAAGAATAGCTATTCAAGAGAACAAAACCCAACGACGCATCATTGCTCACGCACACAAAGAACATCCTACACTTGGCTTCAGTGCACATCTGTGAGGGGCTGGGGACAAGCCTAGACCTTGAAGCAACCCAACTTCAGAGGCAGGATCGGGTAGAGTCTTAGCCATATCACCACTTCTCTCTCATTGGAGCTCCACAACTGAGAGAGGAAGCTTCAGGAAGTAGGCAGAAAGCCAGAATTAAGAGACCCAGGCTCTAGGGTCAGCTCTTCTACTAACTGTTAGTTCTTAGCTGCTATGGGCTCCATGTTCCTCTGAAGTCCAAAGATGCAAAGAAGGATTAACACTACATATCTCACAAGTTCGCTCAGAGCCAAATGAGAAAATGTGCAATTCTTAAAACTGAAAAAGCATTCTTCAAACATAAGGGTTTCTCTTCCCACCCTAGATATTCATGATGCATATTTTCCATACATACTAGAAGGAGCTGGTGGACACAAGTCCTCGGGATAGTTTCAGGTTTTTACAAGATTATGAAGCAGCAAACTATGGCACATTTCCTCTTACATACTATAAAGTCATTTCAAAATGCCAAGCAAATATAGTAGTTCCCCCTTATCCGTGGTTTCTTTTTCCGCAATCTCAGTTATGCACTGTCAAACACGGTCCAAAAATAGGTGAGTACAGTACAATAAGACATTTTAGGAGACAGAGAGGGGCCACATTCATATAACTTTTATTATAGTATATTGTTATAATTGCTCTACTTTATTATTAGTTATTGTTGTTAATCTCTTACTGTGCCTAACTTATAAATTGCACTTTATCACAGGTATGTATGCACAGGAAGAAACAGTATATACAGGGTACAGTACTATCTGAGGTTTCAGCATTCCACTGGGGATCTTGGAATGTATCCCCCACAGATTAGGGGGGACTACTGTGTGGTTATGGTTTTGCCCTCTGTACAGGTTTCAACAGTCTAACACCAGTTAGCTTAAAAACCCCATGCATCTTTTTCTATTTGTTAATGTTCTTCCATAGATAGGAAACATATATCAATTACTGTACAACTAAATGCTGCACTGGATGAGCTCAGTTTTGCTCCTAACTGAACACTATCAGGGTTTATTTAAGTCCCTGCTGATGTATGTACAGTGTTCCATAGAGAGTATGATGTGGTCAGTGGAAAAAATGACCATTTCTCTACTTAAGTACATGGCTTCAGTAACTGACAAACATTTTGTTTATCTACCCTTAGCCCTAGAATTTCTCTTTCATTGGGAAATTACATGTACAAAATTCAGCTTAACATCTAGCTGAGCCTTAACACCTTGACACTTAATTTGGGTCCCCTAATAACAGAGGCCAGTACAGAAGCCACTACACTGGATAGGCAGAGACTGGATTGGGGTAGGGTGTGGAATCCATTCCTTCTTTCTATAACCCTTCCAAATAAAACACTATTAATCTAGCCCTTCTCTAATTATCTTTAGTAAACCAAGCAGGAAAAATACTTTTATGTGTTTCTCTGGTCAATACCTTCTGTTCTGCACTTGAATCTTAAGAAATATTCCTTCTTTAAAAAAACATATAAACTTTAATACATTCTTAATTTGGCAAATGACTTATAATGTTATCCCTCAGTGGACCATGCAAATGATTTAAATGGTCAAAATATGAACCAAGAAGTTCAAGTTACTTCTAAAATGAATACTTGCAAAGAATAGTCTTTAGTTCCTGCAGCCCACTCACTGGTGTGTAACACAGTGATTCTGCCATCCTTAGGGAACAGTAACATCCAGCCTTATTGATATTTATTTGTCTATATGCCCAGGATCAATAAAAACATTGTTGGCCAGGAGGGAAGATATTACTTTGATTTTATTGATATTTTACCACTATGTGAGGAACCAACATGAACAGGATGGCAAGTTTTGTGTTTAAGTCAACATTTCATATCTATCTCCAAGACCCAGGTTTTTCTTCTTCATCTCTCTCATCTAATCCAAAAAATGCCAAAGTAGAAATATCACAAAGAAGATACAAAGTTTAAACAGAATGAGCCTGAAGGTCATACTGCAAGTATTCAACGTGAGGAACTGTAGGAAAGCAATTTCTTTATCGCCCATTAGATAATTACACTACAAGAAAACGAGTGATCAATCATGAGCTACTGTCTTAAAAGCATCTGTAGGGAGAGTAGGAGGGAGGTTAAAAACAGTGAAAACTTGACAGTGACTAATGTTTCTGGCAGCTCAGTGTCTACATTTCATTTAACTCAAGATGGAAAGGAGAAAAAAGATTATTATTGCTATAATTCCCTTCAACAATTCAACAGCTGTGAGTGCTAGTAATCACAAGGCAGAAAGCTGGCCCTGGCACCACAGAGACCACTGCCCATGAGGAATTGACTCTCTAGCGAGGACAGCACAGGACGCCAAACATGAGACACATATGATACGAGAAATACCAAGTTCTATGGGGGAGGAGAGAAGAGATCATCCCTGCTTGATGGGAAATCAGACAAGGTTTGGAAGGAGGAATGAACATTACAGACAGACAGAAGGTGGGAAGGAAGTGGTTGAAAGTAAAGTTCACAGTGGGGTCTCATTCACTCGTGAGCCCAAGGCCTGGAATGGTGCTTGATGCATAGAAGTAGTTGCTCAATTAAAGACTGTTCCTTTCTTAAATTTACGAGGTATGCATAGAAGTATTTGCTGTACGATTCTTTGAAATTTTATGTTTGAAAAGAACAGCCTGCTCTACTAAGGATGCAGGCATGGAAGCTGCAAAGGACAAACATAGCATGTGCAGGGGAGGGAAAGTGGTCCAGTTCATGACAGCTTAAGACAGGTCTGCACAAGGTGCAAATGAGATAAAAGGATGTAGGGGTCGCGAAAACAGTGTGAGGCTAAGGAGTATGGCAAGTACTGTGGAAGGAAGAGTTCACAGGTCCATGCCGGAAGGTGAACAAGGCAAGGCAAGAGTATGCGGAGAGATCTGAGTGTGAATCAGCTGATGGGAGGGACACCAGTAAGAAATGTATAGCAGTCCATTCAGCTGGTGACACTGAGACAGAGAAGAGAGGAAATGTTCTTAATATTTAAAAACTGATCCAATATAGAGAATGAATGGGAGGGAAGCTGAAAGGTTTCAGACCTGAGGGAGGAAGAATGGTGGCATCATTAACCAAAAAAGGGGAGGGAGGAGTAGCTTGGGGATGAGGATGCCCAGTAGAGTTTTGGACTCGATTCAAAGGCCGAATTCATCCTCCCTGCCTAGAAAAAAGCCCGGGTCAAGCACCTTCCTTGTAAAGCCTCCTAGAGAACTCCTGGAAGAATGGGTCCCTCTTCTGGACTCCCACAACACTTTGCAATGATTACACTATATTTTAAATCCATCCATTACCTTTGTTAAAATAAAGCGTGATCTCTACATGAAGATAAACTGGTATCTCCCTCCCACCTTCTCTCCCACTCTCTCCCTGGCAAAGTCATCTAGTCATCTTGGGAGCTGTACAGCACAGTGACTAAAATCACAGGCTCTGACACCAGGCAGGTCTGCCTGAGAGTGGCAACTGTCACATTCACTAACTGTGTGCACCCTCGAGCAAGTCAATCTCTCTAAGCCTTAGCACTTCGAGCATAAAATGAGACAAACGGTTCTCTCTCCAGCTTCATTTGATAACCTAGACATAATCTTCTAACTGGCCCTCTACCAAAAACCACTTTCCTCCTCCGGCCATCACTTACCTGGGACATAATTGATTCCACAGTCAATGACTATGGCCCCAGGTTTGATCCACTCCCCTTTCACCAATTCAGGCTGACCAACTGCAACCACCACGATGTCACCTTTATTTACCTAGGGAAAGGGGACTCAGACTTCAGAAATTAAATGAAACACACACCAAAAGATCTAGAAGTGGAAAGGATGCCCCTGAGCTTTGTATTAAATTCTTAATTGTCATCAGCTACTTCCTAGGACATTGGGTTAGGGCTCAAATACAAGCCATATGCTGTTTCTGAAGCCCTTCACATGCTGTGCTTATCCCTACATGTGCCAGAAAGATACCCTTTCACTAGGCCAAACCTGCAGGGCAGAGGGAGCACAGGCTTGGAGCCACAGCCCAGGACAATGTCCATGGATGACAGAATGCCCGAAGACTGCTCCCTGTCCTACAGAAGTGGGTTCTACCACCTTCTGCAGAACACTGCTATGGGAGGATTAAGAGAAGGTGCTGCGCCTCTCTCCTACTCTCTCTCTGCAAAGTGCAGTCTCTTAACTTAAGAGACTTAAGAGACTCTTTAAGAACTGCACTGTCAACAGGGATGTGTACATGTGAGCATTCTCGGGCTCAGGAATAATCTGATGCAGGGGTCAAGAACAAGCTGCCATAGATGTAATGGGACCACTGCCCACAACCTCCTCTGGAGCACTCCACCTCTGAGGCCACCACTGTGATGCATATGGGACTTGGCTGCCAGGGGCCAATCTGAGTGCCTATACTGCTAATTCCTATCTACCACTAGGCAGACAGGGGGAGAAAGTATATGGTTAAAATAAACTCTGTATAAACTTGGGCAACATTTTAATTTGAATTTGTTTCTTCATCTTGTAAAATGAGACAAGAATCATACAATTGTTATAGGGATTATATGAGATAATGAAGGTAAAGTACATGGCAATGCCTGGCACTTAAATGTTAGTTACTCTCAATATGGGAAGAGAACAGCCCCCACCCCCTCCCACACACACACAAGAACACACACACGCACAGAGAACACTTTCTCCTCTAATCAGAACTCCCCTACCTCCTTGTCCAGATTGGCAGTCTTGGAGTGGCAGGTGGTCACTGTGGCATTGTTCCACAGAAGCAAGTCATGCATTGGGGCACCGACTATTTTACTGCGCCCAACCACCACAGCATGCCTTCCAGCGATCTGCACCCCTGAAAAAAAGCCAACAGGCATCAGAGTTGGAAGAAAAAAGCTGTCTTCCTTCGCACACCACCTATATGGAAAAATTCAGAACAAGTGTACAAAAACAGACTCAGCATCAAACAGAAACCTTCCTAAAAACATTCCTTCTTTGGCAATAATATTCTCAACTCTAGGGTTTTAGCTATAAATTGGGATTTGTACATGTGTCCTTCTTGCTGTGCATTTTTGAGAGCAACTTAAGCCAAGATCCATTCATTGAGTCATAGGGGAGTGGGAAGAAAACCTACACTCAAAGAAAAAAGAAAGCCTGAGGTACAGCTAAACAGCCTTATAGAAGAAGACCTCAGATTAAATTACATGGGAAACACAGTTAAATAGGGTGTATGTAACAGGGTAGAGAAAAGTAAAGGAAATTAGATTAGTATCAGTAATTCTTTCCAACTTTGGTAATTTTATTTATATAGTTCCTTCATCCAAATTTCTCTTTTTGCTTAGGGCCTGAGCCGTAAGGTTATTTGCAGGGAAGGGATAAAGGGGAAATTTAACTGTAGTAGGATGCTTTCTTTTTGCTTATCCAGTACCCCTTCTTCCAGCAATATACCAATGTCCTTTTAGGACTGACTCATACTTTACTCAATAGAGATGGCTTGGGTGGGCACCCAATAGAGGATGAGGGACCATATTTCATCTGCTGGCTGTGATGAGATCCAGTCCTATGACTGTTAGGCATAAGGACGGAACATGGTCGGAGCTGCTTGGGACCACCAAATGGAGCCTGAGAATGAACTTCCCACACAAAAAAAGCAGAGGTAAGGTCCTGAGGACTCCACCTAAGCCCCTCTACCTGGTCAAAGCAGTGGACCCTTGCTTAAGGCAGTCTGAGTTTAAATTATGCTTCTTGCATAAAATAAATCTTCTTAGAAAAAGGTAAGTTCTTATATAATGTTAACATCATGAACATCTAGTAGTAAAGATCTCAAAGCTTGAAGTGTTTAAAAGGTAACTTACTGTCCTTTTGAGGATTCAGCAGAAGACCTGAAGCTGCATTAAGGCAAATGGCAGCTTCACAATCAATAAGAGGAAGTGAGAAGCCTACAGCTACTGTAGTTCATGGGATTTTCTTTTTTCTTAATCAAGTTGTAATACATTATTTGCTACATATGCTGAAGAATATATATTTAGTTTAGGATTGAACTATAATAGCTGTCCCAAGGCTTACGATTTGACATTTTCTTGCCAACCACAGAAAATTTTCATGTATGCTGGTCAAAATTTTCCACTTGAAACTTTTTATCTTTTTTTTTTTTTTTTTTTTTTTTGGTGGCTGGACATGATCTACTTCTTTTTAACAGGATGCACCTCCTTGTAAAAAATAACCTCTGCTAAAGTTATTCATAATGAAACTAAAATACCAAGGTGCTAACTAAATGACGGGACAATACAACCAACTGTTCAAGAGATGCACTTCCAGCCATCTGTCTAGTCCTAGAACTACTACTTTTTTTTTTTTTTTTTGGTGGCTGGACATGATCTACTTCTTTTTAACAGGACGCACCTCCTTGTAAAAAATAACCTCTGCTAAAGTTATTCATAATGAAACTAAAATATCAAGGTGCTAACTAAATGACGGGACAATACAACCAACTGTTCAAGAGATGCATTTCCAGCCATCTGTCTAGTCCTAGAACTACTACGGAGATTCAGTGCCCATTTCAGGGATGGGTTTTTTTTTACTTTGTACCCTTGTAGAATATCTGAATTCTTATTACCATATAGGTTATTTTTTCAGTTATTTGAACTTAAATGACCCTGAGTTCAAATCTGGGTTCTGCTGTATCTTGGACAAGTTACTCAATCTCTCTGAGCCTATTTTCTTAGCTGTTGAACAGTAATAGAACCTAGTGCATAGGGCTGTTGAGAAAATTAAGTGAGAATTTAGGTAATGCTGCTAGTAGACAGGCTCTTCTGCCAATCAAATCAATTTATTTATGGCCCACAGTGTACCTCCTCCAGACTTCCACGCATCAAGACCAGGCTCCAAGAAGTGGAGCTTTCTTGTTGTTTGGTTGGTTTGTTTTTACCTGTCTTTTTGATGAGTTCCAAACATCCTCTAGGCGTACAAGGAATGAAACAGTCATTTAGGTCACCTCTAGCAAGTTTTCCAGCATTGATACTAGTCAATCTAAAACAACAAAAGTGATGAAAATACAAGGGAAATAAGGTAATTAGGTGTCTTTGCTCTTTAAAAGCAAATATGCTGTCTTCCCAAAATAGAAATATATTATAAAATGGAATTATGGAATGTGAAATAGGAAGCCAAGCCACACTCACCCATCCACATCTTTTTCAGGTGCAAGAGCATTGACCACTGTTTCTGTGTTCATGGGATTCTCTGAATCTAAAGGTAGCTGTACTATGAACCCATGTACTGTGGAGTCCTCATTCAAAGACATGATGTGCTTTAACACCTAAAAGTAATACCACGTGTAATTTGTATATCACATGGAAATCAAAAGAGGGAGAAACACTTTCACAGGCAAAAAAATCCCGTTGTCCCATTTTCCCCCAAGAGTTTAATTATAGTTCTCTCAGAATGTACCTCCGCCTTGAATCCTGAGAGCAACTGTACTTTAACACGGAATGTATCCGCCCCGGTGTCTGGTAAGCAATCCATCAAATAAAAGAGCTGAGAACTTTAAAACTTATTACTGCAATAGTAATATCCATGTTACAAGCATCCAAATCAAGATCCAGAGCAGCAACATCTAATAATCTTTTCTGCGATGACAGAAACGTTCTATAATTTGTACCTTGCAATACAATGGCAGTTATTGAATACTTGATGTGGCTAATACAACTGAGGAATTTTTAATTTTATTTCATTTTAATTAAATTTAAGTAGTCTCATGGGGCTAGTGGCTACCATATGGAACAGTACAGATACAGAATTTTTCCATGACCTCAGAAAGTTCCTTTTTCCTCCTGCCCCTTTACAGTTTAATCCCCTATCTATAAACAACCACGGTTGTAACTTGAATCACCACTGATCTGTTCTGCCCATTCTTGAACATCATATAAATGGTATATTTGGTTTTTAAAATGCAGATAGTCACAGGCTAAGTAACCATTTTAATGAACACCACAGATGACTCATAAGCGAAGGGTGCTGCAATCGCACTTTGATTACCAAACGTCCCTACCCTAGGACTGCACCATTTACTCTGACTATTTTCAAAGATTTTCTGGAAGTAGGGACTGGAAAGAAAAAATTACCTGGAGGTCTTGCATATGCTAAATGTGTCAGTCCCCAAAGTTCCGCTAAATCAAAAACCACAGAGGAACGCACTTCAGCTGCCCTCTGAACAATCCATTCATAACCGCTCACCTCATGTTCTGTGGCTGTTCTTGGTAACTTAATGTGAGTGGCTTTGATCCCAATCTGCAAACATATACATTAAAAACAGGTAAATGGCAAGAGAACTTGAGATAAGGGCCCATTTCTTTTACAGATATGACTAAAACAAACCAGAAGGTATTAGTCACCATTGCAGCCTTGTATATTCTGAAGAATCAGTCCCTCATCTCAACCCTCATCTCAGCCCTGAAAAATTAGTACCTCATCTCGACCCATTCATCATTCACTTGTTAATTGTCAACATTGCACTTTAGCAATTTCATGTCCATTATTCCTGCTCTTTGGGAAGGAAATCATTGATGAGAAAACAAATATTCAAGGTCAAACCAGAGGCCACAGCTCTAAGTTACCCACTTCTGACTTGCAAAACAGATAAACTTAATGTTTGCTGTGGGTGATAAAAGTTTTTATAGGGAGAGGCACAAAGGGCAAGGGGTAACTGACAGGACCCGGGATAGAGGTGGGGGGAGGGGGAGGGCACCGCTGTTCTAGGCTTTACCTCTTCAGCAGCCTTCAGCTTCATATTTATGTAAAGGTTGGAATCATCTCTGTCGCCAACCTAGAATAATAAATACATGCAAATCAGACAATTAGGGAAGGGCAGAGTGAACAGAAAAGCTTCTGCAATTTCAATTTTATTAAAAGGAATGTTTAATCATGTGACTCTTATTGCAGAGAATTTCTCCAGGAGAATAAGTGCAAATCAGACAATTAGGGAAGGGCAGAGTGAACAGAAAAGCTTCTGCAATTTCAATTTTAATAAAAGGAATGTTTAATCATGTGACTCTTATTGCAGAGAATTTCTCCAGGAGAATAAGAAGGTTGTAGTGCTCTAGATGTGAACAGAGGTGGTGTTACAGCCTCTCCCCCAAACAAGGGCTGCTTGATTTCCACTGAAAAAGCCAAAAGAAAAGCAAAAGCAGGGGACATCTGCATCTGTATTAGAAACTAAGTAAGGGTGCTACAGGCCTACCAGAAACATGTGAAATTTCTGCTGACATGCCAGAACAGGGCACATAGGGCTGACAAGTTGTCAACTGGCAAGAAAAACACCTGAGAGGCAGGAGCAGCTGAGGGCACATTCTGCACTCTCTCCCCCACACCCAGGGGCAATGGAAAGCTCTTGTGCCCAGCCACACAGAGAAGGGAAACCTGGCGGGGGGAGGGGACCTCATTCTAGCTTACACAGAACAGATACCCAAGCAAGGGAAAGGCAGCCTGTGGCCCTCAAGACAGAGAGGGAGGTGTGGCCCACAAGGCAAATCTTTGGAACCAGCACGCTGTGTCTCACTGTGTCCCCTGCGTTTCTTTAATCACAAACATATTTATCATTTTTTATTAGAACGATTCATCTGTAAAATATTATTTTACAAATATTTTCCAATGCTCCAGTGGTTGACATCTTTCCTTTTCAAGGCTGAAATACATCACTATAAGTTTGGTTTCTCCCAAAATTGCAGAGGGCATTGCAGAGGGAAATGTGGTAGGTCCCTCAATATAAAAGATAACTGAAGCACGGCTCCTTTTAACTGAACCAAGGCAGAGACAGAAGCTGGCCTTTGTAATACAGCATTTCCAGACCTTGCTATATTGTTGCTATTACTGGACGCTACCCTCAGATCTCAGGGGCACAGCCTGAATCTTAGCTATGGTTGTCTCTTACACAGATACTTTTCAGTATTGCAGTGCTAATTTGAATTTCAAGAGAACCAAATGAGTCCTCTGAGGGGAATTTGACTTTTTTACAGGTTATTTGTACCTAAGTGCATTAATTGCTTCCTGTAGGGGCTTCCATGTTTCCTCTTTGGTCATTTTCTGTATATATGTTCTTTGCCCCTAACACCCATCCTTCACTGAGTGGGTTACCAGATTTGATATACTCTGGGATTTTTAGATCAAAGTAGGAAAAGAAGTAGTTCTGAATACAAAAGTATTATTTTTTATATTTTCATTCATATTTATACCTAAATTAGTTATTTAGACTTAACTCTGAGATTAAATAGTTTTATCACTCATTGCCACTCCTTTTTAAACTACGATTTCTCTGTTCTGGAGTTTATCTTCATTCATATCTCCGGTCACTTTTCCAGGAAAGGAATGCAGGCATTTTCTAAACCTATGCGTATCTGTAAATATTTTTCTGCTGTCCCTTGTACTTGAGGGACCTTGGCTGATTTGGAATGACAACAAAGATGTCATTCCTTCAGAGATGCTATCTTCGGCAACTAATGTTACAAAGAGAAGTCAAAGTCTTTTGTTGTTGTTGCTCCTTTACACGTAACTGTATTATGTCTGTATATTCTGAATGAATTTTCCTAAAACTACAGAACTACCACCAGTTGCAAAAAGAAAACTTAATAGTTATAGATATGTCAAAGTTTTATTGTAATCCTAATGCAGAGGAAAAGACCTCTAGGGAGCCAATTCAAAGATCCATTCTCAGTATGGACATTTTATAGAGGAAAATGGTTACATAATCATTGATAGACTAGATGCAAAAAGAATATTTAGTTAAACAATAGATGTTTGACTGGTGGTCAAGTGGATGGGTGGAAGACTGGTTTCCCAGAACCAATCTTAATTCCATTGCAGTTTATCAAGAAAATACTTAAGTACTTTATCAGGAATGCTATTTTCTTCCTTGAAGGCGGTAGTGCATTACATCATCCAAAAAAGGTCCTATTCCAGAACAGGTTAGGGACAATTTTTTTAAAAAATCAGGAGCCAAGCTGTTTCTGTAAAGGGCCAGACAGTATATATTTTAGGATTTGCTGGCCACATACCCTGGCACAGTTGCTACCATCTGTCTTACAACCAGGGCAGCATTTGGACATGGACCACGGTTTACCAATCCCTATTTTATACCACAAAGTATATTGGATATTGGTCTAGTCATTAATTTTTCTTTCTGTTTCAGGAACCTTTCACAGATATTCAGGACAGTCAGTTTATTAATTTTATTGTTTCTGACCATGTGTTTTGTGAGGACTGAATGAGTTAGTATACATAAAGCACTCTGAATAGATCCTGTTAGGAAGCGAGTGTTAGCTATTATATTATCAATAATTAAAGTATTTTATGTGCTAAGAGATATAGCCTCATTTGTATCTCTTATAATGAAACGTCAAGTCTAAATTTCCTACAAATATTCAGTTATTTGGGAAGTTACTCATTCATTTTTTAAAAATTCCAATTATTTTGGTACAAGGATTGAACGCTGGATCCTTGTGTTATCAGCACATGCTCTAACCAACTGAGCTAACCAGCCAGCCCCCCAAAACTCCAACTTTTAAGTATACACTTGGGCCAGATCATGAATGTCCTTGGATGTATTGGACATCTATTTTAAATACAGGGAAAAAAAGAACATGTCCTAATATTGCTAAGAAAAGGTTTACAGAAACAGATTTCTTGCCTATGACATTTACTCTTAACTCTTAGTGATTTGCAAAAAAAGGAAAACCTATCACAGCAGAGAACACCAAGCATAGATCAACAGGCCTTCTGTGCTTTTCTTCTCCGCTAATGCCACCCTTGTGGTGTGGGGAGACGATATTTAAGCACGATTCACTCTGAAATTCTTGATGAACAAGGGACAGACAGTTAGCAAGG